ATACCTTGAGACAAATGAAAAGGAAAACAACAACACAAAATTAAAACCACAATAAGATATCACCTTGTGCCTGTCAGAATGGCTATCATCAATAAATTAACAAACAGCAAGTGTGGGCAGGGAGGTGGAGAAAGGGAAACCCTTTTGTACTGTTGGTGAGAATGCAAACTAGCATGGCCACTATGGAGTGCAGTATGGAGGTAGTTTTAAAAAATTAAAAAAGGATCAGCCCTCTGACCCAGCAATCCTACTTCTGGGAATATATTCAAAGGAAACCAAAACACAAATTTCAAATAACATAAGCACCCCTATGTTCACTGCAGTGTTATTTACAAACATCAAGATACAGAAACAGCCCAAGCATACATCAATAGATAAGTGGATAAATCAACTATGGGACATTTACACAATGGAATACTACTCAGCCATTAAAAAGCAAAATTTACCCTTTGAAACAGTGTGGATGGACCTGGAAAACATTATGCTAAGTGAAATAAGCCAGTCAGAAAAAGACAAATATCATATGATTTCACTCATATGTGGAATCTAATGAACAAACTTAACTAACAAGGAAAATAGAGACAAACTCTGTCTCAGATGGAAAGCAGAAGACAGCTAGTGGTGAGAGGGTGTTAGGAGTTGGAGGGATTGAACAAAAAAAGAAAAAAGACTCATGGACATGGACAACAGTGTGGTGATTGCTGAGGGAGGGGCATATAAGGGGACTAAATAGTAATGGGAAAAATACAATAAAGATTAAGTCAAGAAAAAACTAAAGGTTAAATTATTAGTGTTTAATATAAAAATTTATTTGTTAAAAATGTAAAAAAATCTATTGAACACATCAAAAGCAGCCCTAACAAAGAAATTCATAGTAATATAATCCTGCCTCAGGAAACAAAAACAATCTCAAGTGAACAATCTAATCTAATAATGGGGACATTCCTCAACATACTAAAAACCATATATGAGAAGTCCAGAGTCAACATCATATTCTATATGCAAAAACCGAAAGTACTTCCCTTAAGATCAGGAACACCCTTAAGATAAGGGTGCCTTCTTTCATGTCTCTTAGTCAATCAATATAGTACTGAAAGTGCTAGCCATAGCAATCAGACAAGAAGACAAAATATTGATGAAAGGAATTCAAATTGAAAAAAAAAAGAAGTGAAATTGTCATTATTTGCAGATGACATGATACTTTACATACAGAACCCTAAAGATTCATCTGAAACATTACTAAAACTGATAAATGAGTTCAATAATGTAGTAGGATACAAAATAAATATCTAGAAATTAGTTACATTTATATACACCAATAAATGAAACTAAAAAACAAATAATCACATTTACGATTATAACAACAACAACAAAAATAAGATATCTAGGAGTATATTTAACCAAGATGATTAAAAATCTGTACTCATAAAATTATAAGACACTGGAGAAAGAAACTGAAGAAGATATAAATAAGTGGAAGCACATACCATGTTCATGGATAGATAGGGAGAACTAACATCATTAAAATGTCCATATTACCCAAAGCAATTTATAGATTCAATATAATTCCTATCAAGATATTAATGGCATATGTCACATAACTACAAAAAATATTATAAAAATGTATATGGAACAAACAACCCACAAACAACCCAGAAAGCAACAGCAATCTGAAGAAAAAAAGAACAAAGTTGGAAGAATTGTGCTACCTGATATCAAACTATACTACAGGTCCATAGTAATCAAAACAGACTGGTACTGGCATAAAAACAGACACATAGATCAATGAAACAGAATAGAGAGCCTGGAAATAAACCCAAAACTTTATGGCCCATTAATATTTGACAAAGGAGACAAGAACATAAAATGGGGTAAAGAGAGTCTATGTAATAAATGGTATTGAGAAAATAAGACAGATCCCTGGAAAAAAAATGAAACTGTACCACCATCTTATAGCATACACAGAAAGAAACTGAAAATAGATTAAAGACAAATGTAAGACTTGAAACCATAAAAATCTTAGAAGAAAACATAGGTTGTAAAACCTTGGACATTTCTTGTAGCAATATTTTCTTCTGCTATATATCCTCAGGCAGGGGAAACAAAAGAAAAAAGTTGGACTACATCAAACTAAAAAGATTTTGCACAGCAAAAGGAACATCAGCAAAACTAAAAGGCAACTTACTGAATGGTAGAGGATATTTGCCAAAGATACATCCAACAAGGACTTTATATCCAAAAGAAGTTATATAACTCAACAGCTACGCATACATACATATGTATAGACACACATAAAATAAAAATGTATATATAAAATATAAATGTTTTTACATATGTAAGAAAAAATGGGCAGATCAACCCAATAAGAAAAGGACCTAGAAAGACATTTCTTCAATAGACATATGAAAAGATGCTCAACATCGCTAATCATCAGGGAAATGCAAATTAAAACTACAGTGAGATATCACCTCATACTTAGAGTAGCTATCATCAGTCCATCAACAAACATCAAGCATTAGTGAGAATGTGGAAGAAAAGGAACCCTCATCCATTGTTGTTGGAATGCAGATTGGTGCAACCACTGTGGGAAGCAGTATTTTTTTAATTATTTTTTAAAATTACACTTGCCATTCAATATTAGTTTCCAGTGTATAGCATAGTGGTTAGACATTTATGAACTTATAAAATGATTCCCCCAAAATTAGTTTTTTTCAGAGTTTCAGCAAATATTTAATAATAGAACTATTTCAAAATTCAACAATTGTACTTATGTGATATTTATGTGACAAAATATAAAATACTTACTCGAAAGATATATACACCCCATGTTCATTGCAGCATTACTTGCAATAGCCAAGATATGAAAGCAATTTAAGCACCCATCAGTAAATGATTGGATAAAGAAGTGGTATATATACAGGGTGGGGTAAAAGTAGGTTTACAGTTATATGTGAAACACAAAGCTTATTTTGTATTATTATTTATTAATTATTATATTGTTCTCCATACCAACAACTATAAATCTACTTTTGCCCCACCCTATACATAATGGAATATTACTCAGCCATAAAAAGAATAAAGTCTTACCATTTATGACAATATGAATGGACCTAAAGGGTGTTATACAAGAGAGTGAAATAAGTCAGGCAGAGAAAGACAAATACCATATGATTTTACTTACTGGTGGAATCTAAAAACCAAAATAAGTGAACAAACAAAACAGAAACAGACTCAGAGAGAGCAAACTGATGGTTGCCTAATGGGAGAGGTGTTGGGAGCCTGGGTGAAAGGGACAATTCTTAGTCTTCATGAAGGGGTTAAGATGTTTGAGTTGAAGAACAGCATAGGGATCATCGGCAATAATTTTATAATAACTATGGAGCTGGGTGAGTACCAGAACTAGAACTAGTTCAGAAGTTATATAAATGTCTAACCACTATGTTGTACACCTGAAACTAACATAATAGTGAATGTCAACTGCCATTTTTAAAAATAATTTAAAAAAAAATTCCCAAAGTGTGGGATGTGGAGAACTTCCAGTTGGTAAGCATATCTGGTAGCCCAAGAATAGCATGCTGCAACTCCTTGGAGAGAGGACTCCTGAGCTTGGGACCCCTCTGGATCTCACCCTATGAATCTCTTCATCTGGACATTCATCTGCATCCTTTAGAAATAAGCTGGTAAACACAAGTGAGTATTTTCAAGTTCTGTGAAGCATTCTAGCAAACTACCAAACCCAAGGAAGGAGTTATGAAAACTCTGGTTTATAGCCATTTAATCAGAAGTACTAGGGACATGGGACTTGCAAACAGTATCTCAAATGGGGGCAGAGCTGTGGGGCTGTGTCATAATTTGTGGGGTTGATGCTAAGTCTCGGTAGAGAGTGCCAAAACTGGATTGAACTGTAGGACACCCAGCTGGTAATGCAGACTTGCTTGGGTGAGGGAAAAACATACAACTGGTGTCAAAGTATTGCTCATGTGAGTAAAGGAGACATATAGGAATATTTTTCCTATACATAGAATGTCTACTTACAATGTGAATTACAATGTAATTCCTCCACAGTGCAGGCAATTTTGAGTTCTACTTGTTTAAACTCTTATATTCAAAGGGATGACTTTGTTCTACTGCTATTTTTCTCTTCTAAAACTCTAGCAAAACCTTTGTTCGTATAGCATCCAGTGACAGTTTTCAACTTCTAATACAGCATCTGGATCAGAATTATCTCTTTTTTCTAGAGGATGAATCTGAGGTATAAAGAGATTAGACAACCTGCCCCAAGTCATGCAACTGAATGCAGGGTGGGACACCAGCACAGGTGCCCCTTCAGGTCTCCTCACCATGACCCAGATGGTTGTACAAAGCTCCTTTGTCACATAGTCACTTCTTCAAACCTAGAGGCCTGTTTAACACCCTGCACAGCCATGAAATTCTATAGATTTCCTGGTGGTTTAAAACAATGAATGTGTTTTTCTTGGCACCTCGATTTCAAGGTGTACTATATGGGTAGCAGGTAGAGTCAGTATTATTCTACCAGTTACAGGGGTGGAGGTGTGTTGTTTTACATTACTGATGATCAATATGCAAGTTTTAGCACTTATTATAGGGAAAATGGCCTATCATTGTGGTTCACACCACTTGATTGTGAATCACAGTACCAACCTTGGTGGCTGTGGAATCTTCACCAGGTTGTTCAAGCTGGGCCCCAGTTTCCTCATCTATAAAATGTAGATAATAATTGTACCTATATTACAGGGTTTTTAGAGGATAAACCAGTAAAAATATAGCACTTAAAATATTGCCAAACACAGAGAAATTCCACAGTGTTTGCTTTCTTTACTAGTAGTACTTATATTATTAGTATTAGTATTATAGTCCTTCTGCAGAGGCAGCAGAAGGGAGCAATGTTCTACAAATGGGAATATGTGAGAATCTTAAAGAGGAAGGAATTTAGAGAATCATAGAAAATGGAAATGTACTTGAGAATCATAAATCCTCAGATCCTAAATCAAATAAAATCACAGATTTATCATTTATTTTGCATAGACATTTGTACTTAGCTGGCAATAACTAAAAGAAAATTAATCTTTCTTTTAGTCAGCTATTACAGAGCTTAGCAAAATAACTGATCATTTCTTTCTCCTCAAACTGCCAGGTTCACCCTAGAAATTGACACAGAAAGGTGAGAACTGGAGGCAAGAGGGAAAGAGGGAAAAAAACCTGTGGGCTTGGGTGGGAGGGGCGGCGCACCTGGACTTCTGGGAAAGGCGGGAACTGTTTGCACAGAGCAACACCCACAGGAAAGATGAAAGGGAGGAGCTGAGCTACAGGGAAGGCAAAGTCCTGACCAGAGGCTGGAATCTCCTGAGCATTTTCCTACTTCTGATTGGCCTCCTGTTATCCTCCTGCATTTGGATGTGCCTTACTTCTCATTTCATTTAAGATTTTCTTTTTTCAGTTGGATGTCATATGTATCATGTTTATAATGTTCCATAAAGCAAAAATAAGTGAAACTAATGCATTTAGGATGTATCCCTCTTATAAGCATGACAGGCAATAAAGAACAGTTACAGTCTTCTCTCTGTAAAACAAAATACAATGTTTGTGCAAAAATAATTTTAAAATATTCTGAGTGGTTTTCTAAAAATGTTTTCCTTCCTCTATTTTTACATACATAAACTCAGGCATAGGCCTCTGAGGAGTTCACTTCTGCCCCACACCCCCAGCCCACCAAAGGAAAAAAAAATGGAATAAAAAATATTTGGAAATAAGAGCAAGAAGTTATAATGAAAATGAACGCAGTTATTTGTGAACAATCCTAGCATATTCTGACTCATTTGGTAAGACTTTTAGATTAGTACATATATGACTTATACCGCAAAACTTGCTTTAAAACCTGTTCTTCATGTAAACTAGTACCAAGTTCAGAAGGGAACTTCAACTCCTTCTCCGTCTCTTTATGTGCTTTCCACCTCAAACCCAGCACCTCGGACATGCAAGCGGGTAGATGTGATTCCCAGCACACGGTAACAGATAGAGGCAAATGGAGGATTAAAAGGAGTCTTTCGCTTTCAGGCAGACTAACCCCAGAGGATAAAGCTTGGTAGGAAAACGAGATGTAGGTACAAAGCCACAGAGTGCAGTCACTGCAGGTCCCCAACCCTTGTTTGTCTAAGGCGCCCCTCCCAGTGAGCAGCCCCCACAGCCTCGGGACCGCGGCACGCATGTGGACACCTGGGACCACATAATGCCCTCGTGTGCTCGGGTAAAGCAGTTACTCAACCTCTCCACCTCACAGCTTCCTTCTTGTTTCCGACCGTTTTCCAATGCAGTAGCTCCCTCAGTAGAGGGCAGGAAAGGCCATGAAGAACCAACAGGACCTGTTAACTGAGTCCATTAAGTTTTGACAGGGGAAGGATAAAGATTAAGAAAACACTCATTTTGTCCACGAAGTCTGTGCTCCTAATTAACATACATGACAGAATGGACTCCACATGAGCCCCAGAGTCATTTTTTCAAATTCAAAATTCTAATTGAAAAAGTCACTCAAGCTTTTTCTAGTAGTTATTTGATTTGGCAAAATCGTGTATTCTTCTGGACTCTAAATACCTTTGATCAGGCTGTGCTGAGGCTATGTGCGAGATCGCTAGCATTTTGTGACAACATGCTGATTAAACTTATTAGAACACCATTCACTCAAGGAGAAAAGGGGACAGTGTCCAAAAAAATGGATCACAAATGATTTTGTACTTTTTCAGAAACAAGTCCTAAGACTTAAAAGAGTAAACAAAAGCTTTGCTATAAACAACATATGTATCCAAGCTCATTGTACTAGGTAGCCCACTAATAGCCAGGTAGGACAGGAATAAAAACAAAATGGAGACAAAGCTGCCCATTTTAGAATCAACTCTAAGTCAATGTAACCATGAAATGTACATGCAACTCTGATAGGTTATAAACAGATGATGTCCTTAATTCAGGGGTTGAAATTTTTTTTTAAAACCCATTCTCAGGGAGCACTGCCCTTTCTTTACAACAGGCAACTGCTGTTTCTCTTCTGGATTTCCCGTGAGTTCAGAGGCTCACTGCCACACCACACCCATGTCTGCCCTTTCGCCCAGAACTGGCTGGGGTTAAGTGCCCATTGATTTCTGCCGCTGGGTTTTGTTTGTTTGTTTTTAAGTCAAATGTATTCTATCTAAGAGGTCAGAATGTGGCAGTGCAGCTGAGGTCTGGGCATCCCCAGCAGGGGGAAGGTGAAGGCACCCTCTGTTTATGGAGCCAAGCATGAAGGAAAACTACAATTAGCTTTTGCTGCTTTTCTGCAGAATCTGCATTTGCATTTTAAATTACATTTTGGTATACTCATTTTCGGTTTTTTCTTTTGGCTTTTAAAGCTGGAACAGAGACTCCTGACAAAAACGCTGCCTAAGATTGGCATTTATCAGTGGGGAAAAAATGCATCCACATGATTTTTTTTCTAAAATACTCCACTGAGATGAGTTATTTCAGAAAGTCATGTTGACAAGCAGATGGAGAGAAAGGTGCAAGATGGTTTCAAAGAGTCTAGGAATCTCAAAGCCTGGATTTCCATTTCGACATTTCAATTTCTTGTGAGTCAGTGAGTCTCTCTAGCTCACTGAATTAAAATGCATACTATAGTAATATATATTAAACTTGTCTCCTGATACATGCTGACAATTACATAGTTTACCAAGTCAATAAGTTTCATCAAATCAAATCAAATCAAACTTCCTGTCTCTTAAATCCCAGTAAAGTTGTTCTTTTTACACATTTGTTAAGCTTTCTGTGTTTTCTCTCCTTTGTTAACCTAAATACTATTAATTAGCAACGCTCTTCTCCCTAAGTGATAGGTGGGTAGGAAAGGCAAAGTAAAGCAGAAATGCACATGCAGTGGATTGTAAACTCATTCCTATGTCTTTGAAAGGGGCAATTCCTCCTCATTAAATGATTAACACATTTCATACTCTTATGGACTCTTTCGTCAATGACTTTATGAATGGGTAAACAAAAAAAATACCTTTCACTTTATTACTAAAGGACACATACTGGAAAACTGAAGGTTGAGCCAAGTGCCAAGGAGGAACAGGAAAATAGTACAATGGACCTGTCAGCTTCCTAAGTGAGATATTAACATGGAAATGTACTTCTATGACAGACTCAAGTGGACTTAAAGTTTCTGATATTGTGGGATATTTTAATTCTCTGCAATTCTAGAGAATTATAATTTTCCATATCTTATTGGTGTATCTTACTGGTTTATGTTTGAGTTCATTCTGTTCTGCATTTTTCTAGCACTCGGTGGTTTTTCTTTTTTTATTGTTATTTAACTACAGTTGTCCCAATTTTCTCCTAATGCTGTGCTCTGCCCTGCCTTGTCAATCCCCACTCTGTTGCCCATGTCCATGGGTCATTCACACTTGTTCTTTAACTAGGCCCTTCTACTTCTTCTCTCCCTTATCCCCTCTCTCCTCCCCTCTGGTCACTGTTAGTCTGTTCCTTATTTCCATGCCTCTGGTTCTATTTTGCTCATTTGTTTGTTTTGTTCAATAGGTTCCTGTTATAAATGAGATCATATGGCATTTGTCTTAAGTCACCTGGCCTAGTACTCAGTGGTTTCTTATGATGGTTACTTGTTGTGCAATAATAATGTAACCCTTTAGGTTCAAAGCACATTTGCATGCATTAATAAAAAGATATATTTAATACAAAAGGCAGTAGGGGCACCTTTGTGAAAAAACACAGATAGAAGCTCAGGTCTCAAAAGTTAACATTCCAGTTAAAAAAAAATGAATAAGTAGGAAATAAATGAATGAACAAAATCTTTTCAGCTTTTATAAGTGCTATAAAAAATAAAGAACAGTGATAAACTATAAGGATGTGGGCAGGTAAGGCTGATTTAAACCGAGAAATCTGGAACGCCTACCTTAAACTGTGAGACACACACTCCATGACAAGAAGGAAACAATGACCAGATTTGGGGTCAGAGTTCAGGCAGAGGGAATAGCAAGTGCCAAGGTGTTGGCAGGAACAAGCTTGACATTCGGAGAAGCCTTACTGGCTGTTGCACAGTAACCAGGAGGAGAGATGGGAGGGGTTGAACCCATGGATGGAGGAAGGAACCACATTTTTAGGTCATTAAAATCTGCTGGGCTGTCTATATCTGTGAAAGGGTTCCCAAAACTTAGTAGCTTAAAACAATGATTATTTTTTGCAGACAATTTGGAGATTAGGAATATAGACACTTCTAGGCAGTTTTCTCTGATCCCCGTGGCATTACCTGGGACAGTGAGAGCTGGAGCTCCCACGTCCCAGTGGATTTCTTCATTCAAGCCTGGTACCTCAGTACTCCTGGCCTGTCTTCTCTACATGGCAACTCGCAGGGCTTGTTCTTCTCACAAGGTGGCCTCACGGTTGTCTCATAGTACTTAAATTTCTACATGGGTACCAGCTTCCCCAAGACCAATCCCTGCCCCAAGCTTTAAGCCTCCAGACAGCCTCTTTGGCAAGTCTCAGATCATTATGTCTGTCATCTTTGTTAAACACACAAGGCACTAATGTCAGCCCAGGTTCACAAGGAGGAAAATCAGACACCTCCTCTCTAAAGGAAGTGACAAAGAATTGGGGGTCATCTTGAAGCTGCCACAGAGGCCAATAAAATGCAGGCCATTCTGCATTTTATCCTGAGTATAATGGGAAGCCATTGAAAGCTTTAAAATATGGAAATGACATGATTTAATTTTTGTTTTTCTAAAGATCATTTTGGCTGCTAGACAGAAAAGACATTGAATGAGGACGAGGAAGAAAGCAGGGAGACTAGTCAGAAGCTATCACAGTTGTCTGGATGGGCCATAATGAATGGTAGCAGAGGAGAAAGAAAGGAGAGAGTAAATATGCAGGACGCTGTGAAGGACTTGCAGCTGGATAGGGCCGGGGTTGGGGAGGAAGAAACACAATCAGGAAGAGTCTGAAGGTTTCACTGAGGAGCTGCCGTGAGGATGCTATTACTTACTAAGATAGGAAGAAAGGGGTAAAACTATTTCCATGTCTCCTATAATTGTTCCAATAGCTCTTTAAGGCAGTTCTACGGAAGGCCTTATTATCTCCAGTCTTTTGTCAGATGAAAACAATAAGATTCATAAAGAAAAAAAGGAAGGGGGGGGGAGGAGGGAAAGGAAGCAAGGGAGGAAGGAAGCGAAATAAAGGTAAAGCAACTTCCCTAAAACAGTAAACTGGACATGGGGAGAACAGGTCAACCACTAGTTCCGATAGGTAGTCAGTCCCTCTCCCCTTTACATAATAGAGTTAACTGTTCATCAATGGCATAACAAGTTTTTAATTATTTATTAACTTTCATTTTTAAACCTATTCAAAGACTAGTTTGCTTTGGGTAAAAGAGAAACAGTGAAAATGAACACATGCGAACTTTTTTTCTTAAAATCACCGAATTTAAACAGGGGGGTAACTAAATCCTTTTGAGCATCTCTACATTTACATAGAATTTTGATTTTTTGCATGTTAAATATGATCTATTACATACAAAATTTTTAAGAATCAAAATTGAGAATCAGAGCAAATACAGGAAAAGTGTGATCTAATAGAAAGGCTTTGGGGGATTTACTTATTATTTCTGCCTTTGATATTATCTAACTGTATAGAAATTCTTATATGCCTCCATTTCCTTATCCTTAAATCACTGTACATAATGGACATGTATGAGGAAACTATTGGGGAAAAGGTTTTATACACTTCCAAAAAAAGTTATACAGGTTATTATCATTATGAATCCTTCCCAAAGCAACATTAAAATTTTAACACATCAGTCTGTCACTAAATTTTTTAAATCCAAAATAATCCAATAGATTATGACTCTTTTTGAGTTAGAGCCTTTTACTTCCATTTTTTCTAAGTTACATTAATCAGCCTGTAGCACTTCACAGACGTCTGCCGAATTAGTCATCATGGATGAAAGCCCCTGGGTGGTTAAGAAAACAAGCAGTATATGAGAACTGTAGCCACTGAGACGGTCTGAGACCTTTATCACAACAGCATAAGCATTAGTCAAGTTTTGCTAACCACGGACATTCATTGGTTTCCCCCACGCCCTTGCTCTTTATTGAATTGTTCGCCTGTTTGCCGGTGTCAGCACCTTCCATTCGGTGAGAGTCTGGGGCATCATGCAGGCCTGCACTCTCTCTCTCTCACACACAGAGCCCAAGACTCTGCTCGTTCACTCTTATCAGTGCTCCTTCATCCACACGTGACCACTGACTGGGCCTGGTTCCCTTCGTGGGGAGCACAAGAGTAAAGGGTGTTATCTGAATAATCATGTGGTGACGTGGTCTGAATTTCATATCCCTCAGCAGGAACAAGCCCCAAATATCCAAACTGCCTGGATTTCTTTCTCCAAGAGTCTCCTGTTGGATGTCAAAGTTGAGCTGTAGATAGAGGAGGGTGGAAGTAGCTTTAGATACAGAAAATCAGACCCTTTCTCTCCTGATTGTTTTGGAAAACTGATTTAGCTGATTGGGAAGTGCTTAGATAAAGGCAGGTTGACAGAACTCTGCTGAATGTCTAAGTAAGCTTTCTGATTAACCAGAGATTGAAGGGACATTTCTGAGCAACTGCAGCCAAAAGACCTTTGCATTTCAGTGCAAGCATCATTAGACTTTCTATTAGTGTCACCCTTCTTAAAATTCAAATTAAATTATTGAAGTCCCAAAGCATAACATTCTACATGCATTTCCTTTTCCTTAAAAAAAAAACATGTTTCTGCTTCCAATGCCACTAATTCTGTTAATGACATTAGCATGCTCCTTTGCTCTGTTTGAAACCTCAGCCCCTCCACTCGTTCTGGGAGTCAGCCCTCGTGTGGACGATGGCATTGGTCTCCCAGCCTTCCCAGACCTATGAGATCTCCTTTCCCACACACTAAATCATCCGACTTGCTCTCCTTGCACATTATAATTCTGAATATAAGCTGGTTGTCACATCGTTAGACACCCTTTCAGCACTTAAGGATGAACTACCAAACACATTCCAAAGTCAGTCTGTCTCTCGGGTCAGGGCAACCTCTGAGTGTATAAGGTCCTGAGCAAATGTTTTCTCGCAGAGCCTCTGTCTATATAAACGGTTTGACTTAAAATGCATTAAGAATACATAGGCCCACGTGAGGTACAGTGATTTATTGATGAAGATTCCAAATCATAAACAGAGAAGATAAACTTATTTGTTATCCACTTGAGGCAGGGAGAGATTCTCAGTGCCCAGGGTCTGCCTCTCCCCTCTCAGGTCTGATAATGCTGTTGTCATTAGCTTTTGATGGCCAGGGTACTTTATTTTGCACTAACAGGACTAATTCTCAGCTTCTTATTTTTAGCCCTGACGTTTCAAAAATTGTTGCCATTTCCTGACCTAATCTGAGTGCAAAAATTCTTATTTTCCCATGGAGAGAAAAAACTCGTAGTGCTGTCATGGTTCACAATGCTAAAACTCTTTGGAGTATATCCATATTGATACAATATAGATCTTCTTGCCTCTGCAGTTTCCCAATGTTATTTACATTTTGCTAGTTATATCACAAACAAGGCTTCTGGAGCCCTCGGGCCACCCATGAATACTAGTTTCCAGTAACTCTCTCAAAGGTTGTGGCTGGCGTTCATAACAATGGTCATAATGCAAGTCTTACCCAGAGTTTGCAGGACAATATTAATGACGACTCATTTTCTGATCATGTTAAATTTACCGCTTTTAATTGAAGCACATAAATGTAGAATAACACATCCTTCACCCATTTCTTCTCTTCCATTCTTCAGCTGATATCACTTCACTCCTAGAATGTGCTTTGTTCCAATGCTGACCGTGCCCTGGCCTCCCAGACACCCTCACCACCAGGGAGCACTGGACAGGGGTCTGTGGGCAGAGCAAGGAAGCTGCCCCATTTACATCAGGAATGTTCATCCCTGGCCAGCGTGGCTTACGACCAGTCTAAAAGAACATTGTGTCATCTCCTCACCCAGAGGCAAGTAAAGACATGATTCAGAAGGGGTGAACAGCCTTTATTAATCTGTACCTTCTGGGAAGTGCAACTTTAGACCTCATTTCTGCAATTAGGATAAACCACCCCCAAAATAAAATACCTTGGTGAATACTTGTGCAATATGAAAATAAACAAAATATAAAGGATAGGATGGAATGCCATCTTTCATTCTTGATTTTGTATTTTCATCAAAACTAGTGTTATTTTTCCAAAGACACACATTTAATACGGTAGTGATGAAGTAGAATGAAACATTTTTTATTCCTCTCTCTGGGATACCTACAATCTGACTTCTGTACACTTGTTTTTTCCCACAACTACACAGACTTTCCCTTAAATGAAAACCAAACAGTGATCTGGCTTCTCCTTCCAGATTGAGTGATTCATTAACAACTGTGATGGCAGCTGCGGATGTTCTGGGTCAAGATGACCTGTTTAACTCTATAAATCCATGGTGATAAGGTTATCTTCCAGGCCTGCATGTAGTATGGTTATGAAAGGTGTCTGGAAAGATGTCAGATGGAGGCTGAGTTTCAAGTAAGCTGGTTGTTTTGCCTCGGCTCCTCACACCCATTCTGAACCACGCGAGGAGGAACACTGTATATTTAGATGCATCTGTTGTGCAACTGCTGAGTTCAGAGTGCTCTAGCGAGGGACGGGTGATCATGCAGATGGCGAGCTTCTCACTGAAACGGCTTGCTGTTCCATGCCACGTTCACGGAGAACATGTAAATACTTGGCACAGTTGTGAGAGTTTTCAGAGGTGTTACATTCATTTAGAGAGTTACAGCTTTGGTGGCGACAGCTTCCCATTTTGGCCTAACAGGATTAATTCTTTCTTTCTTATTTTTACTCTTGACATTCCAAATATTGCCACAATTTCCTTTTCTAACTTGAAAGGGGAAAACTGGGTTTTTTCAATTTTCCTTATTTTTCTCCTTATTTAAAGAGGGTCACTGCACCTACAGGAATGTGGTACCCAGGGTCTGGGTGCAGGGCGAACCCCAGCCTCGTGTGCCACAGTGGGGATCTCAGGCCTGCATCAAGGTACCTCCTCGCACTCCAGTAAATATTACCGGCAGCCAAAGGTATTCTGACTTTCCCTTTCTTCTTACTTGCTATTAAAAACATCAAAGCTTTAAATGCACGCTTTTTTATGAATATTCAGTTGTTCATCCACCTATTTATTAAATACATTATTAATTAAGAGATTGCTGGGTGTAAACTATAGCCCATCTGTAGGTCCCTCTCCAGGACCCAAGCCTCTGTATCACAGTAAGGAAACTGGGGAGGCGCCATGGCAGAGGTCTAGACAAGACAACAGATGAAGCGAACCTGAAGAGTAGAGAAAAGATAAGAAAGGCAACAACAAGTGGCACTGGTGTCTATTAGCATCTGGAAAATTGGACAGGATAAGGTGTGACAATGTGTAGGTCAAGTTCAGGCTGTTCTGTGCAAAGAGCATGTGTCTGACTGAGCATGTAATTTATGTGGCCTGTCACCCTTACTGTAGATAAAGGCAAGACTGTTTAAAGAAGCAACATAGGGCTGGATACCAGGGAAGGTTAAAATGACACACCAGCCTCCCCTAAAGGAATTCAAAGCCCAGACAAGGGTGTGTACTGATCAACATAATATGCCATCAATTCAAAAATCAGCAAACACCGCTAGAAACAACAGAGTGATGGAAATGTAGAAGAGTAAGTTAATAGCTCAATGAGTGGGTCGCTTCAGGTTTCATGGAGAAGACTGCATTTACGTTGGTCTTATGGAATGAGTTATCTGTGACAGTGCAGAGCAGAGAGAAGAGAGAAGAGCACAAAATTCCAAATGCTCATTCCTCCTCATTCTGTCACACATGGAACAGAAGCTGGTCCATAACAACGTTCGACAACATTTACTAAATGAAACAACAGAGCATTAAAGAAGACGAGTGAAACTTAGTAATGTGACTCAGATTTCATTTACATGTACAACATCATACTGCAGACAGCATTAAAACACACAAAAAAGTGCAGAAAATTTATAAGACAAATAAAAATAATAATATGGGAAAGAAAATTAATAGGAGGGGAGTTTAGAAAACCAAAGGGAAAACAAAGAGAAAAAAATAATGAGAGCCAGAAAAAAACTTGCCTTAATATAAAATTATGTAGTTTGGCTTTTGTGAGTACTTTACTTTGGTTTCTGTTTATGTATTTCAGAAAAATAAAGCAAAACAAAACATGCACCCTAATTCTAGTACCTGGAGAGAATCAATAACCCAGGTACAACAACTATTGACCCCTTCTTGTACATATTTTAAGATACAAACATTAATACTTAAGTCAATAATACTTATTAATAAGTTAAAATAGCTAATACTCTTTATGTAATATGTTCTTTTCCCCCTAGCTAGCAATTGTGGAGAAGGAGCTTACCAAGAAAGCATAAATTATTAGAAACAAATCTTATCTGATTTAGCACAATTTTCTGAAATACCTAAGAAAATAGGAAACTTTTAGAAGTAAATGAATTCTAGTTAGTTCTCTTGGAATTTTTTTAAAAACACATGTTATTCAACTAAGAGTGACTCGAGGCAATAGATACACTTAGTTATTATCCATAATCCTGATAAAGATACATACACTTAAGTTAACTCTTACCAGGGAGGCCAGAGGCAGGCAGCCCTGCTGGTAGGCAGCAGTCCTGTGGCTCCTTCTCTCGCCCTGCTCCCATCCACATCGCAGGGACCCCAAGGTGGCCGTCCTAGCTGGTCTTCATGGTCAGGTTGTGACTGGGAAATAGGGGGGGTATGTGGCACTAGTTTTGTCCCTTTGATGAGAAAAGCAAAAGGTTTCCCAAATGTTCCGCCCCACTTCACCCAGCGGGCACCTCTATATTTAATTGATCTGAATTGGGTCATACCACTGGGAAGTTAAAGATTACAATTTTACAATTGACTTTAATCAATTCTGTGTCATTGCTTGAAGCTGAACATGTAAAGATACCAGAGAAATCTGGGGTTCTCTTCTCAGGTTAGGAAGAGACAAAGAAAGGAAGGTGACCACAGTGCTGCTGTGCACAGTGGTAAGAACCATGACCTGGTCCACGACACCCACCTCACAGCTTGGCAGCTGTGTGCATCACGTACTTCGCATCCTTTAGGGGAGGGCCATGCTCTGCCTCTGAGGCCACCTGCATACCCACCAAAATGCACACTGGGCACTTTGCTCCCGGACCCTTTATGTTGCCATGCTCCTCGCATGCTGGAATAGGCAGTACCACACAGCTCTGCCCTTGGTCGCACTATCCCTACCTACGGCTCTATATGGTTCTTTTAGGGCTTACTTATCCTCAGTACCAGGAAACCCATGAGCCAAAAATGGCCTGCAGCTTATTTTTGTAGTTTTATTAGAATACAAACATGCTCATTCATTTACATAGTGGCTGAAGCTGCTTCACACAGATTGGGATACAGACCATGTGACCTTCATTGCCAGTAACATCTACCATCTGGCCCTGCACAGGGAAAAGTTTGTCAGTACCTGGTCTACATGTCTGCACACTTCTCAGCGGCAGGCTCACACCCTGTATTTCTCTTGTATCTGTGTGAGCACAACCCTGGAGACATAGTGGGTGCTTAACAGCTACTTTCAGGCGGATGGCCGTGAAGACTGAAGCACTGCCGGCTAAACTCAAATATGCTAAACTCTAGCATATTAAGTAATACATGGTGGGTGTCTCATTAATTTTCATTGAATTAATCCAGGAATTAACTAAGCAATTGACCAATTAAAGCAAAATACCCTCATACTTAAAATGTGGGCTCCGGATCCAGACTTCCTGTATTCAAATGCTGTGTGTCCTAGGCAACAAACTCAGCCTCTCTGTGTTTCAGTTTCTTCCTGCATAAAATAGAAATAAAAGTATATAGTGACCTGTAAAATGTTTAGAACAGTACGTGGCACAGAGTAAGCACTCAAAAACTATGAGCTGTTAGTGATGTGGTGAGGGAGAGTCCTTTCAAATATAGGCTACTCTTTTTATTCTTTTCTTTGTGGCATATCTTAGAACCCATTATGCTAAAAAAAAAAAAAAAACCTGGAGAGGAGCAGGAACAATTTCCACTTTTTCTTGATGACAGTAAACCAAGTTGAACCAAAAGGAGATTTCAGGTGGATGTAGCAGGGACATCCAAGGAAGTAATTGCTAGGAGCAGCGTCAGAGAATAAACTAGCACACGCTGATGGGGGAACTAAAAGTCACAAGCATGTCAACACAACACCACCGAACTCTGCTTCCCTTGATGAGAAGTGACGATGCCAAAGGTGAAGTGACTGGCAGGAAAGGCTTTCGTTGAACTGTCAGCTAATGAAGTGGTGAGAAATTAGCAGGCCCTGTGATTTACACGCTAATTCTCCCTAATGCCACCTGGGGGCTTCCCGCAGGCCTAGGGGCAGAGGAGTGGAGAACGGTGCTGCACAGCCAGCAGCCAGCCTGCACTGTGATTCTCTTTGCCAAGCAACACAGTAGCCCAGCGTGTTCCCATTCACTATTCAGCAGGCGGTTGGCAGACTTCCCTCCAAGAATGGGCAAGCCTCAGCTCTAAGAGCAAAATCAAGACAATGGAAAGAATTTTAAAAGGCTTCCACCTTTTTGCACTTTCTGTATGCTCTCTCTAAAAGTTGACTCAGCAGGCAGCCCACCACCTTTTCAGCAGCCCAGCCATCTCCCTTTCAACACAAGAATAAGTCAGTGGACATGGTCACCAAAATGAATGCTCTCTGTAAAACGGAACTCCAAAATGTGATCGGTAAGACATAGCATCCAGAAGTTATCACTGCATTTATCATCCTTATTTAAAGGAGCATTTTCTTCGTAAACCTTCAGCATGTATTCTAACAGAAATGCAGCTCTACCCAGCAGCCCTCTCCCTAGATTCTCCTGTTATGAAAGAAGGAACAGTTCTCACCCCAAAACACATGCCATGGGAAAGCAGGAAAGAACCGTCTTAATCCGTGGCATCTTTCAGGCAAGGGGCCAAATCAGCACAGAGGAAACAGTCTATGATTGTGCAGAGAAATGCCTTTCATATTCTTGTCATAGATTTCCTTGGACATCCTCTGGACTTTCAAACGAATCATGCTGCATTTCACCTTCCCCTGGTAAGCTGGGGCTGATTTTAAGACCATTAGGAAATGAGAGAATGTTACCGTCTTCTCAGTTTCTCTAGGGTCACAGTGTAATTGTGTGGCGGGAGGAACCGGGCCCTAGAGATGGCATGACAGTCACTTCTCATTACCTCCCACTTGGTTCATTACATCTGTAGACAGCGATTGCCCATGTGTGGACACTTCCATTACACAGAAGGATGTAATGTGCTGTAGACCTCGAATGCCTTTCAAATAGGTAGAAAGCTATTTATTCCAGGCACATACCTATCTTGTTTCCAAGGGGCCATGCGAAAGGAATGGTAAGTGACATAAGGAATAGATTAGCAATGATCAATATGAGAGAACCTTCCCGAGATGTACTTATACCCAGTGAGATATTTACACATGTGCATCCCATCAACACACAATGCCTCACACAAAGGACAGAACCCTCACTCATTAATCTACCAAACTTGACTTTGATAAGCAAACCCACCTACTCAGGTACACAGGCTATTCAGTGTACCTTCTCTGAACTGACAGCCCTCCCGTCCACTCTCTCTCTCTTGCACTCTCTCTCACACACACACACACACACACACACACACACACACACACACACACACACAAATACTAAAGTCTTTTTCATTTGCAAGGATGAGTCCTATGAACCGTGAGATACAGATAAACTATTATCAAACCTCTTTCTCAGGTTATAGGAGGCCCCAGGTAGATTACAAACTAATGGGAGGGACTAAGAAAGAAAACAGAATTACAAAAAATTATACATTGTTAGAATCAACAATGATTCTTAGATATTATCTATAACAGAAATGCCCAGACTTTTTCTTTAAAAATAAACCTCTCCCCCAAAGGTTAGTAAGAGAAGCCTAAAAAAGAGCTACCCGTGACAAAGCAAACCTGGGATGCTACATACTACCGTATTTTGCCGTGTATATCATGCGCCTGTGTATGATGCATACCCACGTTTTTGGCCCAAATTTTCAAGAAAAAAATCTTTTGTTTTAATTTTTAATTAATTAATTAATTAATTAATTAATTAATATTTAGAAACAAGACCAATTATTGTATTTCAATTATTAATATGACAAGTAAGCCAATGAACCAATTGGGCATTATTTTGCATATTGATATCGTTATTGCTTTCTAGAGTTATACTTTTAAGGCATAGCATAAATAAAAGAATGAAAAACACTTACATAGATATGGAATTAGTACAACCCATGTATATTGTGCATCCTAATTTTTTCCTCAGAAATTTGGGCAAAAAGTGCTCATCGTATGTACATGGCAAAATACGGGTATATTCTACTGTGGAGAATTCATAATCATGTCAGCTGATCAAAGATTCTGAGAATTCCTATTATATATCTTTTTAAATCTATGTAACTCAATGTTATCCTAATCTATTAAGTCAAGAAACACTTTTTTAAAAACTAACATCCTGTGAAATCTTGTTAACATCCTATGAAATAATTATATCACATTCGGAGATTCTGTTCGACTATAATCTCATTGTTTTCTATAGATTTTCCATACACTAGTAATTCTCAAATTTTAGTATGTATTCAAATCTCATGGGGACTTTATCTTTAGAGATTACTCAGCAATATGGATAAAGCTCGGGAACCTTGATACTTACCGAGAAGTCCTGATGCAGAAGGCCTCAAACCAATTCACACAAGCGCTGTCTGAATTCATCAAGGATTGAACTACATGGTTAGAAAGAGATCTTGACAGTTAATAGGTGCAATGTCTGTAGCTTTGACTCTGATAGTTGGCCAAGTTTATCTTTGAGTTGCAAGAACTTTTTGGAATGTGAAAAGGAATGTCCGCCTCCATAAATCTACCAGGACTTGTGGTCCATTCACCTTTACACCTATCCTTAACTGTGGACGGATCCTTTGCACTTACTGCCCCATGCATTCACCTGCTTTCCTAATCTGGTTTTATTAATTTTCATTCCACAATTATTTACAAAGCATCCTCCATATCTTGAAACACTAGGGATACCAGTGATGAAAAAAGACAAAGATCTTCACACTTGTAGGTTAACATCCTGGTAAAAGGAAGATAGTCAACAAAACATCCACATAAAAAAGTAAGTAAACAAAATAGTAAATTAAAGTTAGAAAGTGACAAATATTCATGAAAAAAAAAAAAAACAGAACCAGCTAGGGGAGAGCAGGGGTATGGGTGGGCAGGGGCTGGGCGAAGGGCTGCAATTTTTTAAAGGGCAGTGGAAGTATGCCTTTATAGAAAGCGACATTTGGCCAAAGTATTGAAACTAGTAAGGGAGGTGGCCTTTTATGTATGTAGACCCAGAGTCCAGTCCTAAAGAACAGCCAGTGCAAAGGGAGCTGCGCCAGTGGAGAAGGAGCCAACGGAGGTTGTGTGGGGAGATGGATGGGGCAGGAAGACTGGAAAATGCAGCCATTAGCAATGACCAGACCGTGTGCACTCTTACACTAAGGAAAATAAGAAGCCACTGCAGCATTTTAAGCAGAGAAATGGGGTTATCTGGTTTACATTTTTTAAGTCTCTGAACGTATTCGACAGAATGTATTTGCCATTGACTGGGTGTCTGCTGACACGCCAGGCACTGAGCTGGGAGCCTGGGATACAAAGGCAAACAGACACCCTTGGCCCTCAAAGTCCTCGCAGTCACTGGGCCTCTGGAACAGCTCGTCACAGGTCAGTGTTTGTACATTTAAAATTTATTGCCCTTGCCCCTTGCATAACTTTATGATCTCAGCATCCACATGCTCCCTGCCCCAGGCTAGAGCTTAAAGACGTCAGTCCAATCAGCCGAGGGGTTCAGGTGCCCAGTCCTGCCTGAAACATACTGTGTGGCCTTTAGCTAGATGTTAATTCCGCCTTTTCTTTCTTGTCTTTTCCATTCGTTTACACGGTTTTATGCAGAAGTATATCCGTGCAGTCTGATGAGATAGCCAGCACTGAGAGCTGCAGGGTGCAATGAAAAACTGACAACTTTAATTTTCCCTCAAATTATCATACTTCCAAATAAATAGAGAGTTGAGTGCATTCTCCAGTTATTCATTCTGGCAGCATTGCCTCAGCTGGAGACAGCCTACAAGTTGGCAGGCCAGAAGTGAAGAAAAACTTATCTTAGTTCCTGGAGATAAAACCTGTTAGTTATCAACAACCGAAATTCCGAGAAAGGGGCTTCTGGGAACGAGCCATTTGCAGCAACGATCTCTGTTTAACTCGCATGCCTCCTGCTAACTTCTTTCTGTTGAGGAAAAGATGTAGAAAGTCACATTTAATTTTGGCCTCAAACATGATTCTAAATAATAGACTTGGCCTGCTCACCTCACCTGTCAGTCATCAGTAGATCCTTCAGAGATAAAACCTCCATTCTGGGGAAATGGAAAATGAAATGACAGGCTTTGAGAAAAGTCGCTCAGGAAACCAGAATTATTATCATTATGGCTGTGTTTGCCTTCAGTACGCAAATGCAGTCTTGAACAGCAGCGCCATTTCCACCAAATGCTTATGATGAAGCCTCATTGAAATCAGGGAAACAGGGATTTGACGGGCTACTGGGAAAAGAGGGATGCCTCACAATGCTATTTCAGACGGCAGCCTGCACTGCTCTGAACCACTACAGATGTTTTCCTTTCGTCTTCATTTAATGGTTTCTCGAAGCACAATGTCTTAGCATCACTCACGGCAGTAAAATTTATGACATACTAATTAATAGCAAGATGCTGAGCTAAGCAATTCTGTCTCTGAGATTGTAATTATATTTTCGAGCTTTAATGTTTTTTTTTCTTTTACCTTTGTTCTGTCAGATTTCACTAGCAGAGGGAGAGGGTATTGAGAACACATAAAATTTTAGGAGCCTTGGCATGATTAATTCCACTTAACAAATAAGAAATAAGCTGTGCTACTTATCCCTTACCATACTGGTTATAGAATTGGTTTTACCAGTTATGAGCTCAAAACAAAGCCAAATTGTACAGGGAGCAAGAACTGCAACTAAAAAGGAGAACTATAGGTGGAAGGCAGCATCATTACTGATGGCTAATTTTTCTAAACTGAAGGAAAATTAGGTCTTTTTCCCTGTTTAGAGATTCCTGAATTTTATACTATCAGCAAAGCGTGTTGCCGCACCTGCCCTGCCAATCCCCAGCCCTAGACCAATCCAACAGCAACTTTCTTGGCTCCAGCTTCCAGGCAGCTGAGCATGGAGAAGGAAAAATCCCCCAACTCTGGGTACTGGCACTAGGACAAATCTACGTTCCCAACATCAGCTGGACCCTCGGTACTCCTGGCAGTCTTTCTGTTTGTCCCCATTCAACTGTTTCAGATTTCCCTCACAGCTGTTCCAGACTATCAGCATGCTCAATGACCCCCTCATCCTAAGTAGGTGTCCATATATCCCAGAAAACACAGAGGTCCTCGCCTTCCCCTCTACCTGCAGCTGGATCCGGGGCAGGGGGACAACTACCTTTTCCTTCCCTCCCTCCTGCCAGAGAAGAGGTAGCTCTTCTAGCCCCTAAAGTTACCGCGTCTAAAGAATAGTGAACATGATCTCCTCAGGCATCTTCTGGGACCTCATTACATGGGTCATTTTTTCACCTCTGTGTCTTTAATTCACCGTGTTCTGTCCTCTGGCTTCTATCCTTTGGTCTGCAGATTCGCTCAATTTTTCCTTATCACCAAACACGCACCTGCGCACACATATGCACGCACAGATAATTCCTTAATCATTTCAGCCTTTCACTCATGCTGCAAATTGCCTTGTAGAGCAATTATCTGTTTACATGACAGTTTTCAACTGGTCCAGTGGTTTTTAATCATCGTTGTGTCACAGATTCCTTTGAGAATCTGATTAAAGCAACGGACCCTTTCCCTGGAGACATGGAAAAGGTGTACACATACACACACACATTGTACCTGCAGTTCCAAGTTGTTCTTGGTCACTGACCTCCACGGGAGATATGACTGCCTCTCATCAATGCTTACAGTTTTCCTCCTCTTCCAGGCACACGAGAATTACACTTCCTTGCTGACTTGAGATTAGTCACTGCATTGGCCAATGAAATGAGAGTGGAAGTGATGTGTGTGAAAGGTTTAAGAGCCTGAACTTGACGTGCTACGCTTTCTCTTTTTACTCGGCCACCGTGACCTCTGGGTTCCAGTTAGAGACTGCTCCGTCAGTGTGGGTCTGAGCACGAAGAAGACGCAGAGCAGAGCACCTGGCCGGCCTGCAGTGGACGTATGGAGTGAGTGAGAAATGAACCTGGTTGTTTAAGGGGGCTGAGAGTGGGCATTGTTCATTAGTGTTGCATAACTGAGGCCATCCTGCTTGATAGCAGGGTACTTTGGATGTGAAATAATCTAAGGACTTAGGAAAGTCCTTTCTAGAGAAATTTAAGCAACCCTCCACTCTGTTCTTAACCTATAAGCACCTTTCTGCTCAGGTTACTGTACTTTCAGTTACTACGTTTTCAGCTCTCTCTACCTTCAAGACTCTTTCCCTGCTTCTTCACATGAGTCCTCACCCTTCATAACACAGTTTATATGTTACTTCCTCTGAGAAGTCATCTGAGCCTTGTTCCCACACCCTGCCAGCCTGGTCGCTACCATTCACATCATGCATTTCTGTCTTTCACAGAGGGAGCGCATCGCAGCCCATAATGATCATATTTATTTTCTGTGTCTCAAGTTAGGAATTTACAATATTCGTATTCCTGCTATCAACAATGATTCATAAGTAACGAAGGTCATGTGGCTTTAGCCCCATATGAACTTAACAAAAGGTAATACATTCAAAATATGGGGTGTTTTCATTTCTTTACTATAATGATAGAAACAGAACCATGAGTGTTCGGAGCAAGTCCCACTTTAATCCATTTTCTATGCTATGTTAATGGAAGAAAAAAGCTCTAAGAGTGTTGGGCAAACATTTCCATATTTTGGTGTTTTTCATCCAGAACATGCCATTGGACTTTGGTATTCACCAGTAACTATGAAAAGGTCAGCTTGACATTTTGGGCTTTTTTTCAGATAGTTTTGGCCAACAGCCCTAACAACCTTTGGTCCCAACCCAGTTAAATAGTAGTTTTTGTAATTCACTGGCATACATTTCTTGTTTTTTGTTTTGTTTTGTTTGTTTTTTTCTTTTACTCAGTATGCACCAAGCAGTCTTACTCCAGAGTGACAGTAAGAATTAGTCCTTAAGTTCTAGAAGGATGTGGGTGGCTAACTTTTATTATACATCCAGGAATGTAGGTGTAATACCTTGTCACAGAGTAAGGTAATTCGTACCTGTTCAATAAAGGAATGAAAAAATTTGTATTATAAAATTATCACATATTTTTTCATTTGCCTTTATTATATATAAGTAATACCATAAAAGAAAACCATTCTAATTTTAAAAACCAAACTTTTAGCCTTACGGTTTTACCTGTATGCAAAATTAACATGTTTATTGTTTTAAAATTTTAGAAATGCATAACTTAAAATCAATATGAAAATTTTCTATTTTCATTGTCTTTAAAAAGTGTGCTGAACAGTCTTGCTATCTGAGAAAAAGGTCCAGAAGTTGCAATCCTATCCTTCTAATATATAACTGACCCTGAAAAATATTCACCAGAAATCTATACCTCTTAAAGTCAGATATTCAATTTCATAAGCAGAAAGTTTGGGAATCTTCTGAACTAATTGTTAGAATAAGATAACTGTAAGTCTTGGTGAGAACAACCAAACAAAATGTTTTAAAGTTACTAAGAAGCTTAGTTTGGAAACAAAAATAAGCTCAGTATAGTTTTGATTTTTCATAAATTTTGTTTGTTTTAAATTTCTTATGTGGCAGTGTGCATTGTACCATAGTACCCTGTGAAATGTGGAGTGTATCCACTTCCGTATCTCCTATGTAACATGTGCAATTGGTATATGATAGCTACATTTTTCTATGTCTATTTATACTTATAAAAATCCACATGTTTCCTGGCTGGTGTGGCTCAGTGGACTGAGTGCTGGCCAGTGAGCCAAAGGGTCACCAATTCAATTCCCAGTCAGGGCACATGCCTGGGTTGAGGTCCAGGCCCCCGGGGGAGGGGGAGCATGAGAGGCAGCCACACACTGAGATTTCTCTCCCTCACCTTCCCCCTCCCTTTTCCTCTAAGAAGAAATAAATAAAAATCTTTAAAGAAGAAGAATTCCTTTGTAAAAAATCCACATATGCAATTTAAACATAACAGAATTCTCAGATTGGAGTGAGATGTTTACTCCTTCTTTTTTGATTGTTTCCTCCCAATTAAATAATTTTTAAGAGAAGATTATCATCTGCCATTCTGTTTTAAGAGAATGTAGGTAATCAGTTGGGGCTTAATGTCTTTAAAGTGGGACATTTATGAAACATGTGTGTGCAAACATTTTTAAATCATTTTGCATAAAGGCAGATTATTTCTTAATTCCTCACTGTTACAACATAACCTTCAAAAAATCACAAATCCTTCTTTGAATGAGGGGGCACCTCATTCAAATGCAGAAATTCCATAGACATAGTTGCCGCAGAAATGTAAAGGGATAAACAATAATGAATCGTACCACCAAAAACTGCAGCTGAAGTGGGGCAGCGTCAAGGTTTCTGTTTAATAATACTGATACGCTGGCTGTATTTATTCTTAATTCCATGTATACTCCCAGTTGGATGCTCTGAGTCCCAAACTGGAAAGCCCTAAACTACTAAAAAGAACACATCTTAATGAAAATATTTTAGCAGGCCTTTTAGCTTAGGAAACCAGTACATGCCAAGAAAGTTTTTGCCGTAGAAAAATAGTAAAAATTAATAAATGATAGATTCAAATGAGGCCAATTACTTTCCTTTATTTCATACAAAATTTCTTTTTATAAAAAAAGTGAGATTTTCTACACAAGATTTATAGTCACCTTAGCTCTCAAGAATAAGTGTTTCTTCAAGCTGATTCATGTCTTGTTTAGTTTGCTAAAGAGCTTATTTTGAAATAGTGCTCCAGGACAGCATTTAGGGTTTTTCTTATATTTATTAAAGAAAAAATCATGTTAAAACTCCTAAAAACATTTTGCTTTATTTTGGGCTGGTTTAGGGTTTATACTTTAAAACTGAATTATGGCCAAGGCATCTGGTAAATGTGAAGGTTGCTATTAGACTCTTGTAGCCTTTGATCTTGCTAATTAAGTTTTATAAGACATTAAAGAAAAAAGTTATATTAGTCATCTTATTTAAACATTATTTTAGCAGACTGATACACCCTGTGTTCTAAAACCAAAGATACCCTATTTGAAAAAGGGTAACACTGATACAACCATTCATATTATAACATTCAACTCCTAGTTCCCAATAAAATGGGTAGAATCAGTTTAAGAAACAGAAAGTGGGGCATGAAGAAATGAGGAAGAAAGAATCCTCTCTCAGACAATATTTTAGAATATTAGTAACCTCTCTACACCTTTCTCTCTGAAAATAAATACTGACCTTTATGATTTATATAAGCCTTTTCTTTTATCCTGCTTTAGCAACCCTATCACCAAGTAGCATCGTAGTTGAGTGCACTTTCCAGATTCAGTTTGGGATTGTGGAGGAGTCTGGGTTGTGTATGGAATAGGCAAGATTTCAAAGCCAAGCTCCAACATTGGCCTTGGTCAAGGTCTAACACACCATCTGTTCTTTTCCCATCCATAAAATCTTAAGGCATGTATCCTGCAATAATAGGAATTTTATATCAATGCCCCATTAAATTATCTTCATGCAGGTCACCAATACCTTCTTAATTTTTAAATCTAAAAAATAATTAGCTCTTACTATATTTGATCTCTTTGCAATATTTGAATTTTTACCACTTCATAATTCTTCAAACTGTTTTCTCACTTGGTTTCTGTGACCTACTTTTTTTCTGTCATTTTTCTTGCTTTCTTGAGTTTGCTATTATTCTCTTTTGCAGACTCTAGTCTCTCTGCTGTTGATTGAATGGCTTTTTTGTTTTCCTTCCTCTGAATTGTCTTCCCAACACATTCCATCCACCACTGCTTCTCATAGCTTCAACCACCACATATTTATAGTAGGCACATATAGGGCAATCATTAGGAGACATATAGCTTCCAGAACTTTGCCTCAAGCTCTTAGCCCCCACACTGCTACTGCATTTTGGGCTTCCCTGAATTGTTCTATTGGTACCATTCAAAACTTCCACCCACGTCAACGAGAATAGAAATCTAGAACTCACCCCAGACTCCTCAATCTCTCTTGTTTTGCTCTCACATCCCCTCAGTCTATAAAAGCTTATTGGTCCTTCCCCTAAACTATTTATTTCTTCTTAAATAGTGCCTTAGTTTAAATCCTGATCTTTAGATCAAGAAAATAGCCTCTATGTTATTCAGAGCAGTTGCAATATCATAACAAAAACATTTTTAATAAATGTGGTAACAAATATCTCAATGGTTTAGCACAGTAAGTATTTTTTTCTGTGTTCATTTGCAAGTTGTTGGGCAGGATCGGCTCCATTCAGGTAACCTGGCTCCTTCCATCTGTTGGCCATACCACCTCCTCTACCAGACCCTTGTAACTGGCAGGTGGGTAAAAGCAAAGAGAAGGTAGAGTCTTGTTATGGGCTTAGTCTATACAGGGTCTGTCCAGAATGTATCCAGCCATGTACTGTGAAAAGTACATTTAGAGACATTTATTGAAGAAGATACAAGAAACGCTGTATATACAACAATGATGCCTCAGTCCCCTTCAAAGTAAGCACCTTGGGACCTCACACAGTTCTCTCAGTTGCCATCGGCCACCCTGTCTTAGTTTCCTGAATCTCACCAACAGTCTGAAATCTCTTCCCTTTCAAAGGTGATTTTAGTTTTGGGAAAAGGCAGAAGTCACAGAATGCCAAGTGTGGGTGGTAGGGGGGCTAAGACACCTGGGTGATTTGATGTTTTGCCAAATCACTCTGCATGAGACATGATGCATAAGAAGCCATGTTGTTGTGATGAAGCTGCCAATCACCTGATGCTCATAGCTGTAGTCTTCTGAATCATCCAAATAGTTTCTACAGATGGATGTTCAAGCTTAATGCAACATTT